CTCCTGAAATAGATGAACATCGACCAATTCGTTTCGGTACAGTGACTGTGTATTCCTTTCACATTAAAAACTTAATCCTTGTGCTGCTAAAAATAAGACTCCCTGAAACACCACAATCATGGTGCCTGGGCAGACAGAAGTCCCCCAGAGGGGACTCCACAGTGCTATGAGGGCCCAGCTGGTGCCCACAGAGGCCTGGCTGGGAATAAGTGAAATGGAGCCACCCCCTCACACACCCAACCCCCACAACAGTGACAGGCCGGAGCAGAGCTGACAACCTGAGGGTCCACCAAGTAGCTTCCAGAGTCAAGAGAAAAGGTTAAAGAAAAAGCATAGCCCAAAGAAGGCAGGACGACATGGCCTTGGCCTTCAGGACAAAACGGCAGGCAGCTGAGGTTCTGGGTGAGGGGGTGGGAACAGGAAGCCATGAAGTGCAGGCACAGCCATGTGACTGCCTGGTCTGGGAATGAGGACAGTGGGTGGCAGCTGCTTCGTAGTTCCTCATCACTGTGTATTCTAATGCATTTACTTGAGCATGCTCAATTTGTTCTCTCCTTGTCTCCTCTTCTTCCCATTTTTACTCCATATGCTGATAAACCCACTGCCATCAAATCAATTGACTCTTCTTGACCCCCATTGGGTTTCCAAGCCTGTAAGTATTCACACAAGTAGACGGCATCTTCCTCCCACAGAGAGCTGGTGGGTTTGAACTGCTGACCTTCTGGTTAGCAGCCAAATGCCTTACCCACGATGCCACCAGAGCTCCTACATATGCTGGAGGTTGGTGGTAATGTTAAGGAACAGAGTATCGATTGGGACCATGGCTGAATCGGGGTGTAATGAATGCAGCCAGTGAGGGACACAGTGACTGTCTCCTCATCTGAGAACTTCTTCACTTGTACAAAGTCTACCTGTTATTTTCTTAGCTGTAAACAGTCATTTTGTTGACATATCGGAGTTCAAGTGTGTGGAGAAGGCTGCAGATGGAAACTGAGAAGCCAATGGGGTGAGTTGTGCCAGTTATTAATTTACGGCATCTCGGCTCCAACATTACCTTTCACTGCCTGCTCTGTGATCAAAAGTCACTTGCCATCGCGTTGCTTCCGATTCATGGTGACCCCACGTGCATCAGAGCAGAAATATACTCCAGAGGGCTTTTCATTTTTCTTCTATTTTTAAATAAGTTTCTATTTTAGAACACTGTTAGATTTACAGAAGAACCGCAAAGGTAGTACAAGAATTCCCATATACCCTCTGTCTGGTTTCCCTTACTAACATTATACATTAGATTTATCACAATGAATGAGCCAATACTGACACAATGACACTAACTGAAGTTCAGTTTATTCCACATTCCTTAGTTTATGCTTACTGTCCTCTTCTTGCCCCAGGACCCCATCCAGGACACCATATTGCATTTGGCTATCATGTCCCTTTAGGCTACTCAATCTTTCCTTTTTGTTGTTATTTGTTTTAATAATATTTCATTGTGTTTTCAGTGAAGGTTTGCACAGCAGTTTAGGTTCCCATTCAATTATTTCTACAAATTGTTCAGTGACATCGGTTACATGTTTCACATAGGTGGCCATTCTCATTATTTCCATTCTGGTTGTCCTATTTCCATTTATCCAGCTTCCCTGTTCCCTTACATTCTCATCTTTGTTTTAAAGTAATTGCTGACCATTTGGTATCAGGTGTTTTTTTAAAAGAGTGTAGTACTCATGGCTGATAATCATTATTTGTGAGCTAATCTGTTATTTAGCTACAAGGTGACCTCAGGGGTTAGTTTCGGTTCCAGGTTTAAAGAATATCTTAGGGCAACAGTCCAAGGGAGTCTTCCAGTCTCAACCAGTCCAGTAAGTCTGCTTTTCACCATCTAGTTCCTCTGGTCTCAGAGTAGAGGCCATGGTTCGTGTAGACTATTTATAGTGTAGACAAATTTCTTCTGAGTCTTTGTTTTCCTTCTCTGTCTTTTGCTCCAGACAAATAGAGACCAAGAGTTGTATCTTAGATGGCCACTTGCAAGCTCTTAAGACCTTAGACACTACTTACCAAGCTAGGATATAGAATATAACCTTATGAACTATATTATGCCAATGGACCAAGATATCCCACAAGACTATGATCCTAATCCTTCAATCCCGGAAAGTGAATCCCATAAGGTATTTGGTTGTGTCTAAGAAGTAAGGATCCATAACTGTGCGCTCTATGTCCTTTGTAATACATATGAATCTACACATATACAGTCTCACTGATGCATATACATGTGCATGCACCTATATATACACACACATATACTTACATATACATACGTATACACATTACAGAGCTCTGGTGGCATATTTCCTAAGGCATTTGACTACTAACCAGAAGGTTGACGGTTCAAACCCATCAGCCACTCCGCAGAAGGAAGACTGGACAATCTACTTCTGTAAAGATTTACTGCTTTAGAAACCCAAAGGGGGTCGCTATGAGTCAGAATTGACTCGATGGCAGTGAGTTTTTTTTTTTTTTTTTTATACACATATATGAGGATCTCTAGTGGCGCAGTGGGTAAGACATTTGGCTGCTAATCAGTAGGTCAGTAGTTCAAGCCCACCAGCTGCTCCGCGGGAGGAAGATGAGGCAATCCACTTCTGTAAAGATTTACAGCCTTGGCAATTCAACGGGGGTCGCTGAGTCAGAATTGACTCAGTGGCAGTGTTGGCGGTCAGATACACACATGAGCCCACACATACGGTTTTTGGTTGTTGCTGTTGTTTCAAAATTATATATGCTACAGCAGTTACCACCAGGTCCTTTTTTCTCATGTGTATTTAGTGACATCATTTTCCCTGATCAAGCTATGCACACTTCTCCCTCATGTGGTGTTACCCTTCCCATCACCAAAATTAACAAGTGTCTACTCTCTAGAGAGTAAATCCCCTCTTCTCTTTCCCCATCCCTGGTAACCACTAATGAACATCAGTTCCTTTATACTTACCTGTTCATGTCATTTCATAAAAGTGAGAACATACAGTGTAGTGTTCGTGCTTTCGTGATCAACTTATTTCATGCAACATGATGTCCTCTAGCTTCATCCATGTTCCAGGATATTATGGGAACTCATTTTTCGTCATCACTGAGTAGTACTCCATCGTACGTACCACATTTCACTTCTCTGTCCATCCCTGACGGGCGCTCACCACAGGGGTTCCAGTGGCTGATTTTTTTAATTGATCACCAGGTCTTTCTTCAGAGGACTCTCTGGGTGGACGTGAACGGCCAACCTTCCGGTTAATACCCGCGAGCCACTGTACCACCCAGGGGCGTGTGCTCTGCGATGGTGAAGCTCAAGCCTCGTCTCGGTTACAGCTAGCACTGTGTTAAGCTTTGTCAGTAGAGGGTGCCGGAGAGAAACAGAAGGAGCAGGGCATTCTTTCCGGGACCCGGCTGCTTCCTCAGCAGGCTCCTGAAGGCGCTTTTCTAGCACCTGGCTCCTGCAGCGGGGGTGGCTTCTGCGCATCAGGCCCCAGCAGTGCACGGCAACAAGCAGCAACCAGAGGCCAGCACCTTCCCCCAACATCCTGCCCCTGGACAGCTCTGTAGTGTAGTGTCAGGTGGGACATGTCCCTGGTGAACAATCTCCGCCAGCACCCTAGAGGGCAAATTCCAGTAGTTTCTGCCAGCATCGCACCCCAGGGATTTCTCTGACACTCAGGGGGACAGGGCCATGCTCTCTCCAGCGAGGTCTGGATCTTAGCCCCAGGGTTCGGGAGGGCTCCCTGGGTACTGGATCTGAGACCTCGGGCTGTGGCTGCCTTCAACAGCGGTGACTCCTGCACCTTCAGAGCCCTGTCTGCCTCTGACTGCGCGTCACCTGTCACACTGGAGAGTCCTCTGTGTCATGCTCTCCTCTGTGAGTACAGCACCAGCACGCTGTCTGCTGCCTGGGTCCCAACTCACAGCTGCTCTGTTACAACCGACAAAGGGGAAACCCCGGACCCCTGCGTGCCCTGCCACACACTCAGCTCTAACTCAGTGGCAGAATGTCCTTACAGGAAGGGAGTACCGGGCACTCTTCATGTCCCATTCCCTGGGCTGAAATGAGCTGACTCATGATAATACCAGGCAGCGTGGTGACCGTCCCATCCTGCATAGGGACTGAAATGTTTCAAATCATTTCTGGGGCAGATTTCAAAATAATGAAAGCTTCCCAGCCAGCCCCGTTAGTGAGCAGTTCTAAATGTCATCTTTGGTTGTGGGTTCAATCCCTGGCCTCATCCTCCTTGTGGCTGAATGCCAAGGGATGCAGAGCCCAGAGCTCGCCCCTTCCTGGCCTCAGTTTCTTGCCTCTTCCAGCTGGACCCCTCAGCTCCCTTGCCCAGTCCTCTGTCCTCAGCCCAGGGCCCAACTCTAGGCGGTGCCACCATCCAGACATCTCAGGACACAGACCAGCCAGACCCAGCTGGGTTCATGCTCACCACCCACACCCACTTTGGCTCTCTGCCCCCAAGTCCCAGCTCAGATCTAAGCCTGAGACCTCAGATGCCTTTCCTCTGTTCTGCACCCTCCTAGCTGCCTTCGGCGCTGAGTCTTCACACCCCTGTATATCACTCAGGGTCCCTGCCACTGAGACAACCGGACAGTGCCCCATGCTGGAATGATGTCCGCCCAAGAAAGGCAGGGCCAGGCCTTCCAGATCCTCGTCACCTGCAGCCAGGGCTCAGCTGTCATCGCAGGCACGGCCCCTGCTCTCTGGCCTGTCCTCCCCCCACCATTGAGTACGAATGACTGGAGAGTGCGGTGCCACTGCTGGGGGACGGGGTCCCTCCCATGCCCAGGCTGCTGAGGGACTGGCTCCGTGCCCGCACCCAGAGTGCTCACTCTTTCATTTGGCTATAACAGGCGGAACCCAGCAGCTCGACACCCCACTCCACCCCCGGCAATGGCAACTCGGCTGTGCTGACGGACAATAGCACAAAGGACTGGGGGAGGGGGCAGACACGAGTTGGGGTTACCTGTACGCATTTTTGGAAACAGGGCGAGGATCAAACTTAAAGAAGATGATACACATGGGTCGCTTAGGGGCTGCCTCCCACGGTTACACGGTCTGCGGGAAAAGGGAAAACGAATTCAGTGAGCAGCAGATGACAGACCTGCCTCCTCGAGCCCGCAACAGTCCCTGACCCCGAACAAACCACAGAGAAGCTTGCAGCACTCGCTGGACACAGGAAACTCCATGTCTATACACCTGCGGCACTTGCTGGCACCATATAGAACAGCCCCCCAGGGCTCTACAGTCTTGGCTGGCACAAGAGAGAAACCAAGCCTCCTTGCTCTATCTGAAAAGGATAACTGCTGCCCAAACCCATAATTCCAGCAGTGAACCAAGCTGCCTCACCAACACCACTCCCACCCAAACCAGCAATTCCGGCACGGAACAGAGCCGCCTCACCCATGACGCTGTCTGGCAATGGGTAGAATCGCCTCCCTGGCACCCACTGGCCCTGACCACAACCAGCAAGTAGGCACTACAGGGGCAGGGGCAGTGACAACAACCCCACGAGCACAGCCCTGCCACTGAGGCAATACGCCCCCACTCCGCCATGCCCAGGCTGCTACACAGCTGGTTCCGTGCCAGCATCCAGACCACTTTCCCCTGGCCATAGCGCCAACCTCAGCCTGAAAACCACCATAGGCCACCCTTGCCTCAGACCTTAGCCCCACAAGGAGCCACGTAACTCACCTTGGGCTGCTCTGCAGCCCGCATCCATGCAGTCCCTGCTGCAAACACGCCCTCAGCCCCATGGTGGCTGAGGCACAACTTGGGGACCTGGAGGGCTTTATGCATGCTAAGTCAGTGAGCAGGGATGCAGGCAAGGGTTAGCACTGTAAAAGGCCACATCTAGGTTCCACAGAAATGCTCTTGGGTACTGGGCGAGGGTGGGTTCAGAGAACCCCTTCTCTACAGACTCTGCCCTAGAACTTCAGGACCCAGCAGCACTTCCCACCACCTGGTGAGAGCCCAGATCAGAGACGGAAGGTCTTGGAAACCATGTGTGGGGGGTGCTGACTCCGCTCCATGCAGGACCAGTGCCTGGCAGCCAGGAAGGACAAGACCAAAGAAGCTGTTCAAATTCTGTGGGGAGACAGAACCCAGTGAGGAGCGGGGTTAAAGGTGTGCAAGAATCAGCTGAGGCCTGTGTGCACACGTAAGTGTGTGTTCACGAACAACATGTGCTGTGTGTACACATCTCTATGTGTATTGTGGGCTTGCGTGTACGTGTGTGTATGTGTGGCTGGAGGAGTCCACTGAGTTCCAAGTGCACCAGCTCCGGGCTTCATGGTTGGGAAGGGTCCACGTACCAGCATGGGGCACCCTGGGGCTTGGGCGGGGCTGTGTGCCAGCATGGGGCACCCAGTGGTTGGGGAGGGTTTGAGTACTATTTTCTTCCCCAAAGGAGGGGTGGAGGAGGAGGTGACAGAGGAGGAAGGGGGTGGTTGGCTGAGGCGGGCTGCAGCCAGGCCCACCCTGGGCCCTGTGGTAGTTAAGATTATGTGTCAACTTGGTTGGGCCTGGTTTTGAGTGGCTGGGCAGCTCTCCATGATGAGACTGGTAATAAAACTCCACGGTGGAATCTACTGGAGCGGCTGAGTAGCTGCTTTAGGGAGGGGGTCTGCTTCCCATATATAGAGAGCAGCTTTGGGAATGGTCTTGAGCCCTTTGGCACACTTGGACCCTGCATGTAGCCAAGTCTTCATTCAGAAGCCTGCTATGTTTCCTGCCCATCTTGGGACTGTCTCTGGGCTTGAACTAGTGGCCTGCTGTGTTGTTTGGCAGTCGTGGGACTGTGCATTTTATTTGTTGATCTTGGGTTTGTCAGCCTCAGCAGCCAGCAGGTGCCTGCGTGAAGAGACGCCTCCAGCTCCAGCCGGCTGGGAGCAAGAGGTAGAGCTTAAGCCCAAGGTTGAGGGACCTTCACCCAGCCCCGAAAGCTGGGCACTTTGAATTTGGACTTCTAGTCTCCTAAACTGTAAGAGAATAAATAAATCCCTGTTTATTAAGACCACCCACTTGTGGTATTTTCTGTTAGAGTGTCACTAGAGAACCGAAACAGGCCCTGTGCAGTGACTTTGTCCTTGGATATTAAGCACACGGTTTCTGTTAGAGTATGGCCTAGGTACATGCCCCAAGAGGAGGCACACCTGTGATCTGGTGTGAGTCACATCCCTTGCTGGGGGCAGAAGGTGGGGGCAAGATGCCATCTTTACTTGGGCCATGACCGCTATTGCCAACTCTCCCCTCTGGCCTTGGAGTGGCCACACAGGACAGGGAGGCTGGAACATTGGGCAGGGACCTCATCACCATCTTGGCAAAGGTCCCAAAAAGCCTCCTCATGGGTAAGAGTGGCGGGCAGCAGACTGGGGACAGCAAGGCCTCCACAGGCTGCCACCTATGCTGAGTGAAGAACAGCCAGCCTGGCCTGGCTGCACCCTGCCAAACCGAGACCCCACAACAGGGCTACTGGCCACTCGGCTTCCAGGCCACTGCCCACCAGAGAAGGTCAAGGAGGGCTGAAGCTTGCAGCTGACACCGTGGACATGGTCTGCAGCTCAGAATGGAAAGAAGAGCAGGCTTTCCCACGAGCAACGCCACTGTATCCATGGCCATCGGAACCCTCTCCCCACGCACTGGTCCTAAGGAAGCGGGAGAGGATGTGAATAATTCACTCTACATTCTGCTGCTGCCTGCTGATGAACGTCTCTCCCTGGCCTAGGACTACTGTGGGACCCAGGCCCAGCCAGCCCCAGAGGGGCTCAGCACTGGTTCAGGACACACTGAGCCCAATGCTTATCCATGGGACCATCCGCTGTCCCTCCCGCACATCACTCAATGTCGGGCCCCCTGGGCACATGTCCAGCAAAGAGCTCAGTGGACCAACCTTTGTCCAACCTTTCCCAGTTGGGAACAACGCCTGCCTAGGTAAGGTGTCTCCACGGTGATGCACACTGCCCGCAGGAGCCCAGAGTGCTAAGGGATGTGTGACTCCACAAGAAAGGCTGCTGGCCACCGCCTCTCGCAGGACCTGGCGCCAAAGGCAATGCTGGTAGATGGAACAGGAAGACAGGACAGGCTCCCAGGAGTATGCCGATACAGAAGGGCTGTGCCAACTCTGCCCGGGCTACGGCCACCGGGGCACTGGCTACTGCACGGAATGTGGCAGTCTGAGTGGTCCTTCTTGCCTGTTACAGATCAAACTGTGTCCCCAAACAATGTTGTTGTTATATGCCGTCAAGTCAGGTATTATAAATCCTAACCTCTATGCCAGGAGCTCTGGTAGCATAGTGCCTAAAGTACTTGACTGCTAACCAGAAGGCTGGTGGTTCAAACCCACCAGCCACTCCTCAGAAGGAAGGTTGGGCAATCTACTCTCTCAGAAACCCAAGGAGGGGTCGCTAAGAGTCGGGACTGACTTGACGGCTCATAACAGCAACAAAAACAACAACCTCTACACCTATGTTTAAGAAGATCTGGTGGTGCAGTGGTTAAGGCATTTGGCTGCTAACCAAAAGGATGGCAGTTCAAACCCACCAGCCACTCCATGGGAGAAAGATGAGGCAGTCTATTTCTACAAAGATTTACAGCCTTGGAAACCGTATGAGGCAATTCTACTCTGCCCTTTGAGTCCAAATCTAATCTATGGCAGTGGTTTCTATATCTATGTCTATAATCCCATTTGGGAACCGATTTTTTTTTGTTATGTGAATGAAGCAGGATTAGCGTAGGGTGTGTCTTGAATTAATCTCTTTTGAGATATAAAAGAGATTAAACAAGTGATGGGGAGAGAGGGAGATACCAAGGACATGAAGCCTACCCAGGAGCAGAAGCTCCGGAGAGACAAGGACTGTCCTGCAGAGCCAACAGAGAGAAGGCCTCCCCCAGACCTGGTGCTGAATCCAGATTTCTAAACTGGAAGAGAATAAACTTCTGTTTGCTGAGGCCATGCACGTGGGGTGCTTCTGTTACCGCAGCACCCGATGACTGAGACAGTGCCCCCACCGCCACCAGTTCAAACAGAGAAGCCAGCGGTGACAGTCCTTTTCCCCAGTCCCTGCCCCCGGGCCCTCACCCCGCTTTGGGTCCGTGATAGGTACCAGGAGACCAGAATGACAGGAGCAGGCTGAGTCCCCACCCCTGGGTGCCCCGGCAGTGCCCAGTGTGGGCTACCATCCCAGGGGTGACTTATGACTCCAATAATGGTCAGCAGGTTATTCGACCAACTCTCTCAGTAAACAACTCAAAACGCTTGAAAACACCCTAACAGCAGCAGACAGCTGATGAGAGCATATGGAGTTTGACCAACAGCTCAGGGAAAGCAGAGACCCAGAAAGGGAAGCTGAGCACAGGCTGCCCCTGTCCAGAGCATTGGCCTATCTAGGCTCACCGGCCCCCCATGCCCCCCGCCAGGTCTGGGGCAGCTGACAGGAAATCCCAGCACCCAGCCTAGAAGAAACAGTGCGGGACGGCTGGTCCTTCCTCGATGGCCACGCTCCAGGAAGGACGTGAGGACCCCACTCGAGCCCAGCTGACACAATCTGTAGCAACCAGGCCACCTGAGGTCAGCGGGAGGAAGCCCTGGCAGTCAGTCCCGGCTGGAATCCCACTGCCCTGGAGCCCCTGGTCTGCCGCAAGGCCCGCCATGGTGGAGCACTGTCCCTTATGGGACAGCACTGCCTTGGGGATGTCAGAGGAGAAGACCATCACCCACTTGGCCTCTGCCCTGCTATAGCACTCGCCCAGTCACATGCCTGGTCACCGAGCAAGGCCACTGGCTGGGGGACAGCCCTGGCCACTGACACTCATGTGTGAGATGCAAAGTGCCCCCGCACCTGGCTGCAGAAGCTGTCTCCTCAAGCAGGCCCGGGCTTGGGGGGGGCAGCAGCACCAGCCCTGGGGACAGTGCAAAGTGCCCCCCACCTGGCTGCAGAAGCTGTCCCCGGGATCAGGCCTGGGCTTAGGAGGGCAGCAGCACCAGCCCTGGGGACAGTGGCATGGGGCAGGCTCCATGGTCCAA